AGCACCCCAGGTATATTCTTGCTGAGGAAGAGGACCCCTCTTCCCCCAGAGGCAAACACATGCACTACCTTGGTTCATTTCCAAAAAATTGCAAAGATTACTGGTTACTTAAAAGCCATTAAGCAAAACTAAGGGTACGTCTACACTACCTGCCGGATCGGTGGGTAGTGATCAATCCCCGATCGCTCTGCCATCGGCTCCTGTACTCCACCACGGCGAGAGGCGGAAGCGGAGTTGACGGAGGAGCGGCGGCAGTCAACCCTGCGCTGTGAGGTAAGTCGACCTAAGATACGTCGACTTCAGCTACACTATTCTCGTTTTCCTCCCCCCCACCCACCCAATGTAGACCAGGCGTAGGAAAGTGGAGTATAGTTACACCATACCTTTTGCTAATGGACACCTATAATCGTACATAGTGCTAAAGGTATTCAGAATAGACTGAAAAAATAAACATGTGTGATATTTATTGGCTTGGGTTCTCCTGTACCAGGAACTAGAAGTTGACTTAAAAATCACGTCTGATGGGACTCCATTACATGCTGCTGATGCAGTTCTGCTTCTCCTTTAAAACAAAGAGTCCAGGTCAGCTGAATAGTCATACGTCTTCACGAAGCTTGCTACTGAGCATAAATCGTCTTACCAGGGCAGTTTCAGGCTCCAATGGAGCTACTCACAGCACCACCCCAGTACTGAATGTTTGCAGGATTACACCCTTAGGTTGCAAAAGCACCCTAGGTTTGTCTCCTCCTTGTCCAAGGCCTGGTCTACACTACGACTTTAATTCGGATTTAGCAGCGTTAATCCGAATTAACCCTTCACCCGTCCACACTACAGAGCCAGTTAATTCAAATTAAAGGGCACTTAAAATCGATTTCTGTACTCCACCTCGACGAGCGGAGTAGCGCCAAAATCGATTTTGTTAATTCGAATTAGGGTTAGTGTGGCCGCACACCACCGAATTAATGTGGTTAAATTAATGGGGTAGTGTGGACACACACCACCGAATTAATGTGGTTAAAAACCGAATTAATGTGCTTAGTGTGGCCGCGCACAATCAAATTTATACAACCTGTTTCCCAAATTCGAATTATCTAAATTCGGATTAATCCCGTAGTGTAGACATACCCCAAGTTAACGTTGTGCATGTTCCAGAACCACTTCTGTGCTCACGGTGGACAAGACTTGCCGCAAGTCAGGGCGAGGCAGCTTGGCAGTTACCTGGGGAAGCTTGCACAGCCCTTGCTCCTGCTGTCCCTAGCTCAAACCTAATGCTCTGCAGACCTGTAGGTGGAATGGTGCCAACTTCCCAGGAGGAACTAATGTACGGACTCTGTCACAGTGGGGGAACCGCCATTGTGCTGGGTAACCGCAACTTGCACAAAAGTGACACCAAGCATATGTTAGCATTCGGTCTCCAGCTCACCTGAAACCATAATAGTCGTGTAAGGTGCTCCAGACACACATTCAGCCAGGCATGCTTCAGTCTGGGGGTGAATACTGAAGACACCACAAAGGTTTAACCAGCACCTAATCCAGGCAAAGATCAGAGGCTCGTCCGTCCAGGGGAGTTAGTAAAGCTGGTTTGCCTCCCCAAGCTTTTGCTGTCATAGGACATGCTGGAAACTAAGTGCCCAGCTACGAGGCCAAGGTGCCAATGGGTTGGTAAAAATACAGAACCACCTGATGGGCCCTACCACTGATGGGGCCCCCAATTGCCCCTCTGTTCCCAGACTGCTTGAGAACATCACTGACAGAGGATTAGGATGCTGGGGGTGCCAAACCCATTCCTATGCAGCACAAAGACTGTGCACAGAGCTGTACCTCTTTGGTAAAAGACTTTGAAAGGACTTCCACTCTCAGCCCTGAGCTGTTCTGCACAGTGATCTGGCTAGCCATCCCAGTCTGCATAATTCAGCTGGTGGAGCCAAGCGCTGATGGCGGGAAGAGCTCTCGGTATGCTTCGCTGAAAACTCTGAGACAGAGATTCCCCCAGTGTGCATTCAACCAAAGAGGAAGTGAATCTGGTTTGGTTTGGTTCCCCTTGCTTTATCCATGCTGATCAGCCACCCTTACAAACAGCTAACCGAGCCTCTGTAACAGGGCCGCCCGGCGGGGGGGAGGGAGTGGGGCAATTTGCCCCGGGCACCGCAGGGGCCCCTACGAGAATATACTATTCTATAGTGTTGCAACTTTTTTATAGAAGGGGCCCCTGAAATTGCTTTGCCCCAGGCCCCCTGAATCCTCTGGGTGGCCCTGCTCTGTAATACTGTTTCTTTTTGCTGCACAGCTGGGCCGCGGCCAGTGGCTCCTTCCCCTCAGCATTCAATCACAGTCTAGTGTCCCTGTCTATCTATTGTCCTGCCCACCTGTCCCCTCCTAAGCTCTTCCAATGGACTCTTTCCAAATGCTGCCTTGACTGGCTCGTCTCCAGCTCCCTGTGGGGTCCCTTTCAGCATGGCTTCTGCCCTAGGCAGGCCTCAGAGCCCACTCTCCACAACTCTGCCCATCTCCCTGAGCTAGGTGCAGGAGAGCAGCCGCCCGTTCCCACAGGGCTGGGAGCAGCAAGATGCTCATTGGCTGCTCTCAGCTCTGCTGGCATAAGCTGAATTGCAGAGGAAATGGACATACTGAATGCAGCATAAAAGAGAACTTGGTTTTTACATCCAGGGTTGCATGTTTCCACGTTACTCAGCTCCAGCCACAGCTGTGGAGGGAGCGTCCATCCGCTTCTGTAAGAGCCGACAACACACAAAAAGGTGGTTTACCACTAACAGTGCAGCTGTCAAAAATTAACAGTTCAAATAGATTCAAAGCAATGGCTGAATTGACTCACTCCGGGGTGTGCTGGGCTGGTGCTGCAGTCTGGGAGCACCTTTTGGTACCTCGCTCAGGCACCAGCACACACAAGAAAAACAAGCAAGCAATGTCACTGACTTGAAGTAACAGCTACACGCGTGAAGCAAAGCCAACCCCAAATCTTTGTCGCACCCTCTTTGGCCCTCCAGCATCACTGAACTGCCACCCTCAGAGAGCCAAGGTCACAGACTGGGGTGGTGGGGGGTACTCTGGTTCCTCAGTGGGAGAATCAAGAGGATAGTTCACTGTAAAAACAGGCCTCTACTGACCAGCTCCACTCAATCAACCTCCGTCTGGAGCCATTGGGACCTGGGCCAAGCATGGGCTGCAGGATTGGGCTCACCTCACACAGCAGTGTGAAACGTGCATGCTTTAAGGGCTTGATCCGAAGCTCATTGAAGTGATGAGGAGTCTTTCCATTGCCTGGGACCAGGCCCCTGGAGTCTGCGTCTGCTGCCTTACTCATGCCCAGTGTCCCTTTGTCCTGAGAGTAACTCCATGGGTTTCATGGGGCTAGTCCTGGGGTAAGGTCCTGCTCAGCTGGCGTCAAGGGGGCAAGGTCAGGTCCTTAGTAGGCTATGTACTTGCCCTCCAGGAAGCGAGGAGTGTGCCAGAGTCTCCCTGGGGAAGGGTGGGGGAAGGTGCCACTGGGCTGGGAGGCAGAAAGCGTGGTTGAGGCCAGTCTCCTGCCATGGCGTAGCCACCTCAGGTCCCATGCGCATGTCTGCGGGATGGCGTTGGAGCTGCCACTGGCGGGAAGTGTTCGTGCTGCTGCAGGAACCTCAGTCTGGTGAAGCTGTGTGTGAATAAACTCCTGGTCTCATCGGAGGCTAGCGTAAGGCTTTGCTGAGGCTCCTGCCTGGCCAGCCGTATGCCCCGTGCACAGCCTTTCCTCGGCGCACAAGCCAGGGCCGCACAAGGGACAAACTGCAGCTGCTGTTTCCTTTCAGATTGCCGCGTCGCCAGAGCTGCTCGCGGCAGGAGCATCAACTTGGCACTGTCTCACAGAGGACGCCAGGCCCTCAAGGCCATTGGGATGGAAGAGCAGGTAGCCTCACTGCCTCCCTCGAGTATTGTTAAGCGAATGCCTGATGACCTTTTGTCAAGCACAGCTTTCATTTCGGTTGCTGTCTGGCTGGGAGCAGCTCGAAGCCCTAGGGACAAGCTTCTCCCTAACGTTACCCGGGAGACGTGAATACCCCAAAGCTGTTCACTGGCACGGCCTCCTGAGATCATCACCACGTCTCCTGCATGCCAGGCGCCTGGCGCTCCTCTGCTGCAGGGCCCCGGACCCTGGCAGGGCGAGGTCCCGTTTCCCCAGGAGCAGGCGTGTGCTGAGGCCATGCAGCTGGCACTCTGCTGTCGGGCCAGGGGACCTAGAGAGAGAGCACTTGCTCTTCACAGCAGCCCAGAGCCCTAGGAGGAGTAAGGACTGGGGGAGGGCAAGTATGATGTCAGTGGAAGCATCATCCGTAGTAAGCCAGGTGGGGGCATTGGTGCCAGGGAGCAGAACCGTGGGGCTGATTTTCAGGTCTAGGCCCCCAGACAGCCAGGGATAGAGCTGAATTTTCCCATATATCCTCAGCCCAGGGCCTGCTGCAAAGGCCATGGAAATCAGAGCCTTTCCACAGACCTCACTGGGCTTTGGCTCAGGCCCGCAGCATGCCATGAGCTTCGCACAGCCCGCTTGAGTGCACGCCCTGCCCCGCCTGAGAGGGGTCTAGCTGCAGCTGCTCAGGCTTGTGCCGCTTCAGATCCGAGGGGAGACTAAAGCCCAGATCATGCACAGCTTGTATCCCAGTGCAGCCCCTTGGCTCGGATTCCCACACAGGCACTGGGGGCTTTACAGACCTTTTCTAGCCAAACCAACTTGCCTGGGATTTTTATTAGAAGGAGCCGGCAGCTAATTGTCTCAGTGAGATGCAGCAGTTTTATAGCGTAGCACATCACATCACACATTGCCAGGGCCAGATTAGGGATCCCTGACTCGCTGGGCCTAGGTCCTACTGGACTTAATGGGCTTCAGGGAGTCACACACTGGCCCCTCAGCCTCGGTATCGGAGCTGAAGGTAATGGAGGTCTCTTCCCTTTTGATTTCAGATTGTGGCCAAAGGCATCCCCATGCGGGCCAGGAGGATACACACGCCCTCAGGAAACACATATTCCATCCCCTATGGAACAAAGAGCCAGGTATTTTCCTTCCACAGCTGCCCTGGGGGGAGGGACCTTTGTTTACGTTCACTGGACAGGTGTTACAGCACTGTGTAATGGTCAGGGATCGCATCCAGCCTGTGTGGATGAAAGGATGCCCTGGAGAGTGAGTGAACAGTAATTATGCATAAAACCTTCCTTATCCCCCTCTCTGCATTTTCCATTGCACCCTGTCTTGCTGGGGGTGGGCTCTGAGCTCTCGGGGAAGGGACTGTACACCTTCGGCACCATAATGATGGAACAAAGTACATATTTTGGCTGTTTTGCCTATAGTGCAAAATATATCTTGTGGCCAAGGGACATTGTAACATTTTTTGCAACCATAAAACAAATATTTTAACTTCTCTGGGTCCTCACAAAAACTGTCCCCATGGTTTGATTCTCACAATCCAACTGTGTAAACATGGCTTCCATTTCCTATGCCTTGCGATCCCCCCGGTGGGCCCATCCCATTCCCATCTCCTCTCAGCTACCAGCCCTGACACCCAGTCTTTCTGCTCCACCACATTCTTTCTCCCTGCGTTCCCCACATGCAGTCTCCCTGCCTCACCCAGCATTCCCTTCCCCCAGCCCTGCTGCCCCCTCCACTTCCCCCCATAGCAAAGAGAGCACTGCTGGACAACTGTGTACAGTTCGGGGGCTCACATCCTAAAACTGGAGAAGGTTCAGAGCCTTGTCTCGTCGTCAGCGAGATAGCTCATGTGCTTACAGGTAAGGACCCATGTCAGTGTTTGCAGGACTGCTGCCTATCATGTCATTCTCCTAATATTTTGTGCAAAAAGTGCTTCAGAAATATTCACTTCCTAAAACTGTTTTCCTGCAGTACATTCTCTCTGTGGACAGAGCAAATTTAAACCAAGAGCTGCTAACGGGTAAGTGTCCTGGCCTTTTTTGAGTGCTCCTAGCCCGTTTTCACTTTGTCCTACCTAAGGGAATCTAGGGTTGGATCAAGGATTTAAAGTAGGGCTGTCAAGTGATTAAAAAAATTAATCGTGATTAATCGTGCAATTAAAAATATTAATTATGATCAATAGCGCAATTAATCACGCTGTTAAACAATAATAGAATACCATTTATTTAAATATTTTGGATGTTTTCTACATTTTCAAATATTACAACAATTACAAAATTAAATATTATTTCAAAAACTACAACACAGAATACAAAGTGTACAGTGCTCACTTTATATTTATTTTTATTACAAATATTCGCACTGTAAAAAAACAAAAGAAATAGTATTTTTCAGTCCACCTAATTCAACTACTGTAGTGCAATCTCTCTATCATGAAAGTTGAACTTAGAAATGTAGAATTATGTACAAAAAATAACTGCTTTCAAAAACAAAACGATGTACAACTTTAGAGCCTACAAGTCCACTCAGTCCTGCTTCTTGTTCAGCCAATTGCTAAGACAAACAAGTTTGTTTACATTTACGGGAGATAATGCTGATGGCTTCTTGTTTACAATGTCACCTAAAAGTGAGAACAGGTGTTCGCATAGCACTGTTATAGCTGGCGTCGCAAGATATTTACATGCCACATGCACTAAAGATTCATATGTCCCTTCATGCTTCAACCACCATTCCAGAGGACACGCGTCCATGCTGATGATGGATTCTGCACGATAAAGATCCAAGGCAGTGAGGCCCGACACATGTTCATTTTCATCAGCTGAGTCAGATGCCACCAGCAGAAGGTTGATTTTCCTTTTTGGTGGTTCGGGTTTTGTAGTTTTCGCATCAGAGTGTTGTTCTTTTAAGACTTCTGAAAGCATGCTCTACACCTCGTCCCTCTCAGATTTTGGAAGGCACTTCAGAGTCTTAAACTTTGGTTCGAGTGTTGTAGCTATCTTTAGAAATCTCACATTGGTACCTTCTTTGCCTTTTGTCAAATCTGCAGTGAGAGTGTTCTTAAAATGAACAACATATGCTGGGTCATCATCCAAGACTGCAGTAACATGAAATATATGGCAGAATGCGGGTAAAACAGCAGGAGACATACAATTCTCCCCCAAGGTGTTCAGTCACAAATTTAATTAACATATTATTTTTTTAACGAGCGTCATCAGCATGGACGCATGTCCTCTGGAATGGTGGTTGAAGCATGAAGGGACATATGAATCTTTAGTGCATCTGGCATGTAAATATCTTGTGTCTCCAGCTACAACAGTGCTATGCGAACATCTGGACTTGTAGACTCTAAAGCTTTATATTGTTTTGTTTTTGAGTTCAGTTATATAACAAAAAAAATCTACATTTGTAAGTTGCACTTTAACGATAAAGAGATTGCATTACAGCATTTGTATGAGGTGAAATGAAAAATACGTCTTTTGTTTGTTATTTTTACAATGTAAATATTTGTAATTAAAATAATAATATGAAGTTAGAAGAAGGAGCAGGTTGACCCGGAGGCGGATATGAGTACAGGCTTCTTTACTGCGATACTTGTTCCCCTGGACCCAATTGTCCAGTAAGCACCGAATTAGTTACAGCACATTCTTTTTGTTTGTTAGTATGTACACACCTACATTTGTTACAACACCCCAAAACCCTTATTAAGTAATAAAACACCCATTTTGTTAGTAAACCCACCCTATCTATTGTGCACAGCATTACACACATTACACAGGCATTTTACCTTGAAAATACATTTCTTTGCAATAATTTGTTGCCACAAATCTCCCTGGTCAGCAATTCTCAGGGGAGGGAGGAAGGGGCCATAAGCCAGGGCTTGGTTATGTCGCTGGGAAAGGAAGGGAGGAGGAGATACCACGGCTTTACCCAAAAGGTATCCTTTAGATCCCCACATTTCTTATGCAGCTGCAACACTTATCAATTCTTACTAGCAACAGGGAAGGGCGAATTATGGCAACTTATTTATTAAACAAAGAACTCCAGCCTTCTTATGCCTTTGTCCCCTCATGCCATGTCCGCACATTCGCAGCTTCCCAGGTCTCTACTTAACCCATACATGGCCCAATAAAAGTGAGCACGGTACACTGTGTGTTCTGTGTTGTAACTGAAATCCATATATTTGAAAATGTAGAAAAAACATCCAAAAATATTTAATACATTTCAATTGGTATTCTATTGTTTAACAGTGCGATTAAAATGGCGATTAATTGCAATTAATTGACAGCCCTAATTTAAAGGCTGTGGTGCTGTAGAGATGTAGTATAGATGCTTCCTGCATCGTTTTCCCATCAATGTAGGCAATCCAGCTCCCCAAGCAGCGGTCGCTAGGTCAATACCTACATTGTTCTGTCGACCTAGCCATGTCTACGCAGGGGCGGGGTGGGGGTGGCGGGTGAGGTTGGCTTAACTAGGGCACTCAGGGGGGTGAAATTTTCACACCCCTGAGCTACGAAGCTAGGTTGATCTAAGTTTTAAGTGGGTTAAGTTTCCAAAATGCTGCTCTGGTTCTCCAAGGGTTCTGGGTCTCTTGACGATAGTCAGAAGCCACTATCAGAGTCTACAACTACAGACTAACATGTAGCTTTTGAAGACATGTCTTGAAGAATACTTAAAACTTATCTAGAGTGTTTTCTATCTGAAAGTAGAAAGGCATTTTACAAACATTAACCCCCCTCCCCCCAACACACCTCTATGGTAGGAAAATAGTGTGCTCGTTTGACAGAGGAATAAACTTGGACTAGAGAGAGTAAGGGCCAATGTTACAAAAGTTGTTACAAACTTTGGGGTGCCTCATTTTGGGGTTGCCTAATTGTCTCTAACCGGGTGCCAGAATTAGCAGGCCCTTCTGAAAATTTGGCCCTGAATTCTGTGGCCAGGCTCTCACTCCCAATCCGTGGCCATTGTGGAAGTCGGCTTTAGGACTCCAAACGCCCCGTGTTCTGGTCTGGCACCTAGAACACATTTTAAGGGAGAAACTAGCAGCAGCATTTAAAACAAAGTTCTGTGGCCCTGATATGTAAATTTGTTTTAAGGACTGATTTCCAAAGCACTAGCTCTGAGACAGCATCCTGACGCACATGGAAACTGAGCCAACAGATTAGACATTCATTGAAAAACAGCTGATATCACAGGGGATTTTGATGGTGGGGGATGTTGAAGATTGGGTGAGATAATCTGAACTGTTCCTAATGATCTGCTTTGTGTATAAATAAGGAGAAAGTTGACAGGAAAGCTAAATAACCCATCTCTTCAGTGTATTTGCATTCTACTGAGTTGAACTGAACACTGAGTTTGGAATGCAACATGGAGTGATTTAACATTACTAGGAAAAAAGTCAGTACTTGCAGCATGTTACAAAGTGGTTACGTGTCAGCCATACAGCTGGGTGGCCACATTCTGCCCTCAGATGCATGCACATATCTCCCATTGGCTGCTGGGGGGTCACACAGGCCCTGTCTCTGTGATGATTCCTATAGCGCAGGGACAGGAGTCATGGCAGTATCTGAAGATTGTCTCGGGGAACAAGAATACTTTGCCAGGATGTATTGCACTTAGTAAATACTTTTCACAAGTTTTAACCATAAACTCTCCCTCTCCCCCCCCACTAGAAGGAATCTAATTTGATCAAAGAGATAAAAGGCTCCATACTTCAGCGGCACTCTCTGGGCTAGCACAATCCATTACACTGAAACTTCTTTTCTTTTCACAGCTGCTGAGAAGTACCCCAATGCTACGTTGTACTTTGGACACAAGCTGCTCCGCTGCCACGTTGAATCAGGGCTATTAACCTTACAAGGGTAAAGCAGGCCCCATCCCTGAGAGTGCTCTCTTCATAGAGCTTTTGCCTAATAATTACTCCAAACAATCAACTGGGCAAGTCTGTTCACAACCAGTTTGTTATTTCTGAACTGACCCTTGATGTCAGGTTTGTGAAGACTCCGACATTGCAGCAGTTTTCATGAAGAGTTGAAAAGCGCCAAAGCAACTTCATCCGCAATAAGCCAGACACGTGGATTTATTTGTTTCTGCAAGTAACCAACATGCTTGTCTTGCCACCTTTAGTTTTCCGTCCATGTCCTGGCTAGACAGTCTCCCCCAAGTTAAGGTGATAACTTGGTTTCTGTGACCCGGCAGGTTTGGATCACACCCCGGCATCATCAGCATTGAACCAGTCTGCCAGATTTATGATGTGTGTGTCCTCCTGGGAGGGGACCTTAGTGGCCATTGTGCAAAGGTGTCTGTCTGGGTATTCAAATACACACTGTTCTAGCTGGGCGTGACATACGATATCAAACCCAGCACGGCCCTGAAACGCTGGCGGCTGCTGTCAGCGCTAGGACACCCTGTAAACAGAAGCCTTTTACAAAAGCTGTGGCGGCTAGTTCACAAACACCAACTTTAATAACCTACAGACTAAGTCTTTACTCCACCCCCAGAGCTTATTAACTGACGGCCGGGACCTGGGGTTCCGCACCTTCCTCCGCAGCATGGGGCATAGGCTGCCTGCGGGGATCACCTGGGCATGTCTCACCTTCTCCATTGCAGGGCCTCGGGTGCAGGTGGCACCTTGCCAGGCCGCCCAGAGGATTCAGGGGGCCTGGGGCAAAGCGGGGGGAGCACTTGTACTCACCGGGCGGCGTTCCGAGTCTGCGGCGGCGGCAGCGGCTGGTCCTTCAGTTGCTCAGTGTCTTCGGCAGCACTGAAGGACCCACCGCCGAAGTGCCGCCGAAGACCCGGACCGCCGCCGGGTGAGGAAAGGGATTCTCAGCCAGGGCTCGCGCGGCCCCTGCGGGGCCCGGGGCCTGGGACAAATTGCCCCACTTGCCCCCCCCTGACCCCCCGGGTGGCCCTGCACCTTGCTCTCTCCTGCTCACTGCCTGTGGCGCACAACAGTTTAGTCTCTGATGCCTGAAATGCTTTGGTCTAACTCAAGTCACCGAGCTCAGCACAGGTATCGGGGTGAAATGTAACAGCCTGTGATAGGCAGGGGGTCAGACTCAATGGCCTCATCTGGCCTTGAACTCTATAAAATCTGCATTGACCAGACAGTCTCTTCATACACCTAGAGGCTAAAAACAGTACCAAAAAATGGAGTCCAGAAGAGTCCTTCGACACCTCTTCATCAGAGTACAAACGGCCCATCCACCCTGGCCGCTGGTGCTGTGGGTGTTCACTGGTCCAGACCAAAGTCCTGCTGCCTCATTCTAATGATTTCTCTTGTTTTTCAGACCTGACCAAAGACCCATGGAAGTCACTTGTGACCTCATAGTGGGATGCGATGGAGCCTTTTCTACAGTCAGAAAGCAGTTCATGCGGCAAACATGCTTTAACTACAGCCATGTGTACATTCCTCATGGGTACATGGAGTTGACCATCCCACCCAAGGATGGGGATGTAAGTAGCCACCCTCCATCCTGCGCTCTGCTGTAACGCCCTGGTCCCTGGTCCAGCGACCCTTCTAGAAATCCCTTTTAAGAATGTTGGCTCTCGAGGAGGGATGGGGCTGGTCCCACCTCTCAGAGCTATTATTTCAGGGTCCCTGCAGACTCAGACATCACTGCAATGTTCCTGTTTTCAAGATTATCACAGGATCCGTAAGAGCTGGTAGAACCAGTGAATCTCGGCTTTAAAACAGGTGGTAGCATAAGGCAATTGCTTGTTAGCACAGGACTTGCAAACAGTGAGTATTTGGGCTCTGCTCAATACCTGAGCATCCCTGGGGGGAGACCTTAGGACCCACAGAGGCCCTTCTGCACGCCCTCCTCTCCCACCAGTGCTTGGAATTAGACGCAGCTTTCACTGAACTGACAGCTCCTTTCCTTCTGGGGGAGGGCTCCTGCAGTCAGTCTCTGGTGCTGAAGGAAAAAGGAAGAAAGTGCTGCCCTGGCTCCGGGAAGCCAGTAGGTGGTGATGTCAGCAGCCAGTCTAGGACACCACTAGGGCGGGGCACTAATGATTGCAAATGGAGGAAGAGTAGGGTTGCCAGGCATCCAGTTTTCGACAGTCGAAAAGGGACCCTGGTGGCTCCGATCAGCACTGCCAACCAGGCCGTTAAAAGTCCTGTCGGCGGTGCTGCGCTGCCCCCACCCTGAGCACCGGCTCTGCACTCGCACTGGCCGGGAACCATGGCCAATGGGAGCTGGGGGGGGGCAGTGCCTGCAGGCGAGAGCAGCACACGAAGCCTCCTGCCGCCGCCTCCCTCGCTTAGGAGCCGGAGCTACTGCTGACTGCTTCTGGGGAGCAGCGTAGTGCCAGGACAGGCAGGGAGCCTGCCTTAGCCCCACTGCACCACTGACCGGGAGCTGCCCGAGGTAAACCCGTGCCCCAACCCCTTACCCCAGCCCTGAGCCCCCCCAAACCCAGAGCCCCCTCCTGCATCCCAAACCATTCATTCCCGGCCCCACCCCAGAGCCTGCATCCCCTCCTGCACCCCAGTCTCAACCTGCAGCCCCCCCACACTTTGAATCCCTTGGCCCCACCCCCAGCCTGGAGCCTTCTCCTGCATCCCAAACCCCACATCCCCAATCCCACCCCAGAGCCCGCACCCCCAGCCCAGAGCCTGTACTCCCTCCCACTGCCCAACCCCCTGCCTCAATCCGCAGCCCCTTCCCACCTTCCGAATCCCTTGGCTCCACCCCCCAGCCTGAAGCCTCCTCCTGCACCCCAAATCCTTCATCCCCAGCCCAGAGCCTGCACCCCCAGTTAGAGCCCTCACCCCCTCCCACACCCCAACCCCCTGTCCCAGCCCCAGTGAAAGTGAGTGAGGGTGGGGGAGAGCGAGCCACCGAGGGAAGGGGAATGTAGTGAGCAGGGGCGGGACCTCGAGAAGGGGCAGGGGAGAGGCCTCGGGGCAGGGGGCGGGGGTAGGGTGTTCGGTTTTGTGCAATTAGAAAGTTGGCAACCCTAAGGAAGAGGCAGGAGTGAGTGGGGTGGGGATGACAGGGAAACGACCCAGCTTGCTAAGGCTTTTACCACCTGTAAATGGTGCAGTGTCCTTCTGCCCTGCCTGCCTCTCTGCAGGGGTGATCTGTGGGTAACAGGCTTGCTAACGAGACACTGACCAGTCCCTTCCTTTCAGTTTGCCATGGAAGAGAATTACCTTCACATCTGGCCCAGGAACACCTTCATGATGATAGCGCTGCCTAACCTGGTAAGAACCCACCATTGCCAATCCTTTCGGGGCACAGGGACGGCTCCAGGCCTGGCTCCTGCAGAAGCTCTGGGACTGGGAGGGGGCTTGGGGAGACACGCAGACCCTAGCACTGCCATGGTGAGCGGGGTGCACTCTTTAACCCAGGGAGGCCCACAGCCTGAATCCGTGCTCTGCTGCTGACGGGGGCCATGATGGGGTGGGGAGAGGTCTCTCGTGCCCTTTCCCAGTTGTGCACCACTCCCACGTAAAGGCCAGCCACAATCTGACCCTCTGTGGAACAGACCAGGAAAGTGCAGACCCTGTGTGAAAGGGCCTGACTCCAAATTGACACAAAGCTGGGCCTGTCTGCAGGGGATAACACACTGCTAGCAAGTGGTGTAGCAATGCGTGAGTGGGGGAGGAACAGGTGGAGGTGGAAACGGCAGCCCCACAGAGGCTGGCAGGACACACCTAGCCCGTGCAGATACAGCTCAGATCCTCCCTGCAGCTCATCAGCACTTTAACCCAACTCCTCTTTAGAAACTCCTGATGGCAAATGCCCACACTGTCAGAGTTCCCCTGGCTGTGCGGCACCCTCACACCAACCCTTCTGGTGACCTTGGCCATGGTGCCTGGTCCCAGAACGTGAGGCTGAGACTGGCCATGGGCCCACCTGTGCATGGCTGGAGAAGGCGTATTATGGAACACGGTACTAGGTTCAGTTCCTTTACTCCAAGGTAAGGAGAACAGAGACGAGGTCCAAGCTGCCCTCCAGTGAGCTGCATTCAGTAGGTTAGAGCACTCCCTCCTGCCCTGAAAAGCTATGGCCATGAATGCACATGGGCAGACAGCCAAGTCCAAGCAGCACTTTGCATTTGTACACCTGGTGCAAGGATAAATGTTCTTTAGACAGCTGGGTCTGCTGGGGATTCCAGCCCTGGCACATGGGCGAAGAGAATGCTCCATAATGCAGGTTCAGACAAAGGCAAAGGGCCTGCTCCTGTTCCTTTAAAAGCAATGGCAGTTTGGTCACTGACTTTGGCAGGCGCAAGCCAGAGCCAGCCCATCCTCCTGGCAGAGGACTTGGCGAGCAAACTGGGCCTTTCCAATATCCCCCTCCCTTACAGGCCTCCCCTGTCCTGCTTCACAGGACAGCATCCTCCTCCTGCCAGCCTCACCACCTGATCCCTGCACTGAGCTCCACTTCCTCCTTTCCCACTTCTCCCATTCTCTGCTCCCCCCAACTCCCCTGCAACCACAAGTGCCTCCCAACCAGCCAACCAACCCCCACTGGGTTTCCCACTGCAATAGAAATACAGCCAAGCACATACGTAGAAGCAATACCCGCCACCACCTGCCCTACCAAGTCATGGCCATGACCCATCTGTGCTCTAGCGCCTTCTCCCACCTTTGCTCCCTGTCTGCGGCTTGCGTGCGCTCGGGGACAGGCCTCTCCTCGATGCTTGGCACATGCCGAGACCGTTGTGGGCACTATGAAGATACAAACAATCAATGACAACAGCAAGAGGGGAAATGGGGCAGCTGTTGCAGTCCTCACCCCCCTTCCCAAGCTGAGCTGTTTGCCTCCCTCGCTGAGGTCCCCGGCTGAGCTCTGTGCTGCATCTCCAAGCGTGCAGGGCTCATCTCCACCCTCTCAGCATCTCTTTGAATATCCCTTTGAACCCACAGGATAAGTCGTTCACGTGCACGCTCTTCATGCCCTTCGAGGAGTTTGAACGGCTCACGACAGGCGATCAAGTGCTGGATTTCTTCCAAACCTACTTCCCAGATTCAATTCCCCTCATAGGAGCGTAAGTATTATTTCTGGTGTTTCTTTGTTAATTAGCGCACTGCCGTAAAGCAACAGGGATGTGTCGAGCACTCGAGTGTTCACCTAGGGCTGGTGATTTCATGCTCTAGTGCGAATCAGCGGGGACTCTGCCTCATGTGACAAATGCAGGACACTACAGGTTCTTTGGGAGTGGATCTCTGTATTTCTCTAGACACCAGATATATTGCAGAACGGATGGGTAGGAGAAGAGACTGAAGACTGATTTGTACTTCCAATGGGCATAACGAGTAGGAAGGTCAGGCTGCCCTTCACCAGGTGATAAGCTGTGTTGTCTGTAGTCATTAGACCACACTCCATTCCCAGAGCCAGAAACAGAAACCAGGAGTTCTGATTCCCAGCATTCAACTCCAGTCTCCCAGTTACGTAATCTACTGGCCAGGTGTGTATCACATGCCCTTCTGGTGACTGGAAAACTTTGGGGATACCAGCCTCCTACTGCTAACAGTTAATGCTTTAGCTGAATGGTAGGGTTTGGAGCTCTGGATCTGAAGGCCCTGGGTGACCACACACGTGAGGGCCATTTGGCTGCACATGACTGAATGTCTGCTTTGTCCATTTTTGTTTACTGAAAACCTAGACTGTCACTGTCCCAGCCTGGCCCATTACTGCAGTGTAGGGCCATCAGTCTGTAGCAAGCAGACCCAGCTACAAGGTCCCATGTGCTTCCCAGGTAGCTGGATCTGGGCAGAGTCTAGTCCCCATTTCCAGCTCTGGGTCCATAATATACAATCCCAGGCTCTGATCTTTTTTCTGAGCCCATCCTTGAGACATGGGACTCTGGTTTCCAGACTCTGGAACCAGTGCCTCAGACCTCCTGAGCCCCCCAGAGCGCCATCTACCTGTGGTCACTCTGGCTTCTAGCTTAACCCCTTCAGGGACAACATAGTCCTTGTTGCCAAGAAGGCGAACGGCATTTTGGGCTGTATAAGTAGGGGCATTGCCAGCAGATCAAGGGACGTGATCGTTCCCCTCTATTCGACATTGGTGAGGCCTCATCTGGAGTACTGTCTCCAGTTTTGGGCCCCACACTATAAGAAGGATGTGGGAAAAATTGGAAAGAGTCCAGCGGAGGGCAACAAAAATGATTAGGGGGCTGGAGCACATGACTTACGAGGAGAGGCTGAGGGAACTGGGCTTATTTAGTCTGCAGAAGAGAAGAGTGAGGGAGGATTTGATAGCTGCTTTCAACTACCTGAAAGGGGGTTCCACAGAGGATGGATCTAGACTGTTCTCAGTGGTACCAGATGACAGAACAAGGAGTAATGATTCAAGTTGCAGTGGGGGAGGTTTAGGTTGGATATTAGGAAACACTATTTCACTAGGAGGGGGGTGAAGCACTGGAATGGGTTACCTAGGGAGGTGGTGGAATCTCCTTCCTTAGAGGTTTTTAAGGTCAGGCTTGACAAAGCCCTGGCTGGGATAATTTAGTTGGTGTTGGTCCTGCTTTGAGCAGGGGGTTGGACTAGATGACCTCCTGAGGTCCCTTCCAACCCTGATATTCTATGGCAGGAAAGCAAGGAACAGGGCTTAGCCAAGGACTGTCTTAACCACAGTCATTTTACTCATAAGCACTAATGAGTTACAGGTCTTCAGAAAATAAAAGTTCTGAGGTACTCCAGACTGATCTCACCCCTCCTGTGAGTCCGAGGATTTCTCCATATTCCAGGCTAGGCAGAGTTCCTCCTCCCCTGTGTCTCCTGCTTCCAGGTGGTGATGGTTGGCAGCACCCCACTCTTAAACAGTCTGTCGCTTTTTAACCATGTGCTCAGCGGGAAGGTTCCAGCCCCCTCCCCAGTTAGATTTGCCCCATCCGTGTAGAAAAGCTCATCGACCCATGGGGGTGAGCCAGTAGTTGAGCCAGTCAAGCTGATAACCCCAGATTGTTGTCTTAGTGACTTTTCTGTGAAACTCCTTTTCTGGGCAGCGCGGCTCTCTGGAATGCCATTCAATAGGCTGCCTTGGGCAAGTTCAGACATGTTCAGCACACAATACCAAGCGGAGAACACAATTCGTATGGACATACCAACTCTGTCACAATTACATAGAAAACCCCACCCATGTCCAAAGAACGTTGCAAAGTCAAGCTCTCCGAAGGTAGGAAATGCCAGAATTAAGGTTGCTGAGCCACCTTAATTCATCCCCCTTGTGCATGTGCATTACAACACAGTCATTATTACATAATCACATAGTGTTTTGCAACAAGACCTTTGCTTCGTTCAGTGCCCAAGGATGGACCTGCTCAGGACTGAATCAGGGTTGTGCAGTGAAGGAGGCTGGTGTCTGTAGGACCCTGTCTCATTTGTTGCAGAAGTTGGAAGATGCGTAGTGAATAAGTCAGGGATTGCCAGAGGAGAAGGGACAGTTTTATGGTTAAGACAACTGGCTTCCATCCCTGCCGCTGCCACAGAATTTCTGCGTGATGCTGGGAAACCAACCTTGTCACCGGTGGCCACTAACTGCATGCTCCCCTTTCGCTCGGTGGCTAGTTTGACGTCCAGGGGGCTGATTATCAATGTGTCATTTTTAAATACCGCTGGGCTGGTCCTGACATGGCCCTTTTGCTAGCAGAACAATGAGATATGTGAAACCTGTCGCTGACTCCAATATCCCCTAACCAGGCCCTGAGTTCCAGAGAAGTCAGTGTGATGTGAGCATCTTTGCTGCCACCTACAGACCAGTCTCCAGCATTACACAACTGCCTTCCCTGGAGACTAGTGGGAGAGTGAAGTATCAGGGGGTAGCCGTGTTAGGGTATGTCTACACTACAGGATTAATCCGAATTTAGATAATTCGAATTTGGGAAACAGGTTGTATAAATTCGATTGTGCGCGGCCACACTAAGCACCTTAATTCGGTTTTAAACCACATTAATTCGGTGGTGTGCGGCCACGCTACCCCATTAACTTAAACACAGTAATTCGGTGGTGTGCGTCCACACTAACCCTAATTCGAATTAACAAAATCGATTTAGGCTCTACTCCGTTCGTCGAGGTGGAGTACAGAAATCGATTTAAAGGGCCTTTTAATTCGAATTAACTGGCTCTGTAGTGTGGACGGGTGAAGGGTTAATTCGGATTAAGGCAGCTAAATCCGAATTAAAGTCCTAGTGTAGACCAGGCCTTAGTCTGTATCCACAAAAAAACAACAAGGAGTCCGGTGGCACCTTAAAGACTCCTTGTTGTTTTTAGTGGGAGAGTGAGTTACTTCAGCAGAGAACATTTTCCACATTGGCCACTCGTTTTTCTCCCGCAGTGGTGGGGAGGCACTCAGGTGGTGACAAGTGGCACAGAAAAGCTCCTCAGAGAATGAGGGAATGAATATTTCTGTATTCAGAGCCGGGGGCACTAGTGTACTGGGAACGAGGCAGAAACAACACCCTGAAGAACAAGAATAAAACAAAGCATTGAATTGCTGCCTCATTTCCTGAGCCGAGTCTGCCCTGAGCACTGAATGAGGCAGGGGCCCTGTGGGAAAGACAGTGGGGGCCAAAAGGCAGCCGAGAGTCCGCACAGCATAAGGGATGCCCAACTTGCCCTCTGCACCATCCACTCCACTCAGCCCGGAGCAGAAAGGGCGTTATGGGTTCCAACTGCCCATTGGGTCCCGTCAGCTGGTGCAATCTAGAGCAACCTGCTGGGGCAGGTGTGTCATAAGAATCAGGGGACCCGTAACCAGGCCAGATTCTCTCCTGCAGATTCAGAACTGGCTCCTTATGTCCTCATTGTGCCTACCTGGCCCTGTGGAAGAGTTGACTCCTGGCTGGGGCACCCCCTTGTGGCTGAGCATGGGGTAGCATCTCTTTCCTCTCTAGCACCTTGGCCGATGGTTGCTCTGACCCTGCAGTGGTCTGCCCCTCCTCGTGACTTGGCTGTCCAGCCAGGTCATGTTTTATTTCCACCCCATCTGTTCAGGGTAACAGAAAGTCCAACCCCCTCACATCAGGTTTTAGAACCGCAGGGCCCGGAGCCAGGCCACAAACACCTTCTCGTCCCGGGGCTTTTAAAAGTTCCTATCCCCTTGTATCAGGGGGATTTTCATGCCACCTTCCCTGGTGGCTGGTAGAGGAACCCAGGTGCCCCTTCCCCTCGGGGTTCCAGCCTAGGAACCCTGCACTGAGTAGGCACTGTCTGTCTCTTCAGACCCACCCCCTGCTATTTCCCTGGGCCTCTTCCTACCAGACCCCGTCAGCAGCCCTTCCCAGGCCCATTGTGTCCCTGTACTCTTCTCAGGCTCCCTGAGCTTTGGGACTGCACCCCTCCTTCCAGGCCATGATTCACAGTCCTCCAACACATCCCAAACCTCAACCCTTTGGCCCTTCCTGGGCTGGAGCCTCATCAGTCCTGCCCAGATACTCTGCTCCTTTGCAGGCCTGGCCTACACCTAAAATGTGGCTGACCTAGCTCCGTCCCTCGGGAAACCTACCCCCCGAAGAGGTAACTCAGAGCAGACACCGCTGGGTTGGCAGAGAATCAGCCTAGCGCCTGCCTCTCACGGGAGGGGATTTACCACAGCAACAGAACACCCCTCCCATGGCTGTAGCGAGCGTCTGCACCACAGCACGTGTCATGTAGCCATCCCCTCAGAGGCAGGCCTGCCCAGCCGCCTCCCTCCAAGGTGTTTCCCTCCAGGAGCTCTTTCCGGCCTTGTGTGGAAGTCAGTCTCCTTCCCAGATGGCCCTGCTGACTGACCTACTTAACACCCCTCTAGGTGCCAAGGGCTAGCTTAGCTGAGGGCTGACGCTCCCATTAGCTCTCAGGACCCAGGTGGTGTATACGCCTATCGCAGGCCCCCCTCACCACAGTATCTGCGTGTTTCACCATCTTTAATGTGCTTATCCTCACAGCTCCTCTTTGACAGGTGGGAAACTGAGGCACAGAGAAACTGAGTGACTTGCCCAAAGTCACACAGAAAGCCTGTGGCGGAGCAGTGTATTGTAGCTGGATCTCCCAGATACCAGGG